CTTCGGAGCCGGCAGCTCTCATTGTCAGTCCCGGAGATGCGTTCGGTTTCGGTCGAGGGCACTTTCAAGGCACTGGTACGCCCGGCCTACGCATAGCTCAGCAAAGTGCAGCGGGCGGTCTGGCGCAGTCTCCGTTCGCAAACAGCAGACCAGGAAGTCCTGCCGTTTCAGCGAGCGGCTATGGCGACGGTTCACGGTCTCCAAGCAGGTCGGACGACGGCCAGAGCGAGGATAGCCAGGCTTCTTCCGCTCGGACAGGTGTGAGCGTGTCGAGCCGGACGTCGAGCCTCTTTGCTCAAGGCAAGGGCGTCTCTGCTGGAGCCTTCTGGCAGCCTGTACCTATTCTACCAGAAGGCACACTCGAGAAGGTCGACGAGCTGGCTAGAAAAGTGGCTGCGAGTCGTCCGCCACTGCAGAGTCGCTTAGCGCTCGCAACCACTGGCTCGCCGCTCATGACGCCGACTTCTGCAAGATTGGAAGGCGCGTCGCTCTTCGGTGGCAGCCGTCGGACTAGTTTAAGAGCATCACTGGAACCGCCAGGCAGTCCATCAAGTGTCGATCGCACCGCTAGTCTCTCTCCCGCTGACACTCTCATACCACCGCCGCTGCCAAAGGACAAGGATGGCCAAAAGCCAAGAGGCTTGAGGATGAGCCGAGCCGCCGCATATGGCTACGGAGACACAGATGACGAAGAAGAGGTGCGCGACGAGCTTTTGGACGACGACGAGGCACCAAGAGTCTCTTCCCGCAGAGTGCCTTCGCGAAGTCCCTCTCGGGAATCGAACAACGCGCAGCAAAGGCAGCAGCAGACGCATCAACGATCCGTGTCTGGACTTTCGATCAAACCCACCAGACTCGTTTTGCCGCCGCGCAAAGCTTTGGGACAACATGCGCTGAACGCACGAGTGGAAAGCGAGGGACAGGACATTGATACGGATACGCCTGTAGAACGCAGAAGTGCTGCACGCCTTGCATCTTGATTCCTGTTCATCACTGCCTGCCACATTTCCAAGTTTTTGCGCGCATGCATCAGTGACCAATCAAAGTGTTCCATCTCACTTGCAAGAGCGCATCGTACCAAACTGATTGACAATCGTTCCAAAGCGCTTCGACGTAGCTAAAGCTATCGTCCAATGACTGCGTGTATACATTGATTTTCCGCGGAAGAATGGTGAGATAGATCGTACAAGCACCCAGCTCCGAGAATGTTGCCCTCATCCAATGGGCACCGCGACGCTAAAGCGAACGACCTTGTTTTACTTTTTGCCCTTTTGACGTCTGGCCGCCTCGGTAGCTGCGTAGCTCTGCAGTCCAAGCAAGCTAAGGATTCCGACGGCCGCGCCGCTAACCAAACGACGATCCCAGCTTCGCGCTTGGTCGCGGTTCGCATAGGCATATATTCCAATTCCTCCCAGAAGAGCGACATTGACTACGTCGGTCGGCGCAAATTGCGAATGTCAGCAGCGCACTTTCGCACAAGAGTCGAAAGATTGCTCGAGCGCATGATACAGCACTCACCTGCTCCGAGCGTCGAGGCCCAGTATGCGGGCTCCGAGGAGAACTTTTGCCAGAAGGCTCCAACTTGCTTGGATGCGTCCGAAGCGGCCTTGGAGACTCTGTGGACACAGTGTTATTCGCGCGTTCGGTAATTAGTGGCCGTGGGAAAGACCTGCGTGGCCAGACCCGACACAAGCGTTAGAGCACCGAGATGGCGACTCACCTCTTCTCCGCCTTTCCAGCTTGCTTCTTTGCCCGCTCTGCCAAATCCTTGGCTTCCTTTTGAGCCCTCTCGGCTTCCGCACGAGCTCGTTGGATGGCCTTGTCAGCCTCTTCGGCGGACTCGGTCCTGATGTGATCCAAGTCCGTTCCGCTAGGCACGATGTTGACCTTACCAGAGTCTACGTCTGGATGGGCGCTCGTGCTGCTCAGGTTGCGCAGTGATGAAGTGAACATGTGCGTGTGCGTCAGCTTGAGGCCCTGGCCATCACAAAGGACAGTCGTCTCGATGATCAGAGGCGGACGCAGATACTCACTAGTTGCCTGCGTTTCGGCCCTCGGCGTAGTGCGCTGACGGGACTGGCTGCTCGCTCTGAGGAGGAGCATCCTTGGCTGCAACTGATGCGTACGACATGACGTTTGGATCAATGCGTGGTGTGATGTGACGATGCTGTGGAGAGATGGTATGACGAGATGCCAAATAGACTTCTGGACAGTAGTAGTAGTAGCAGGAGGTGTGTGGTGGAGCAGAGTAGAGAGTCGAATGGAGGGTGCGCTTTGTACAGACAAGCAGCGACGAGAGAGGCAAGCCAAGCCAAGCCAATTCAGTCACATTCCGTCGCGTGCGCCGCTTTCGCATGTCCGATCACCAACCACCGCCTTGATTGCGCTCACCCTGCAACCGGGCTTCCCTGCATGCAGCCCAGGTGGCTGTACCGGTATACCGTACAGTCACAGTCACAACCACAGTCGTGCACATGCACCGCGATCAGGCAGGTGCAGCGGGCGCAGCACATCAAAAGATTACTCGTGACTGTAGAAAGTGCCGGTGGTCGCTGCAGGATGCACCGAAGGAGGCTGCGCTGCTTGGAGTCCTGTGCGTATGCGTGATGCTTGCATGACTTACAGCAGCTGTTGAGTTGTAGACGCGTTGCTGCCAGATTGCACAGGTGTGCATTCAATTGACGTGTCCGTGCATCGAGCCGCACGCTGCTGCTGCTGCTGCTGTTGCTGTTGGAGTTGAAGTTGGACGCATGTAACCCACCATCACCGTTTGTGCGGTGCGGTATGACGGACGCGTCGGGATATCCTCTCGCGCCGCACCGCAAGCGGTCTTTTGATTCGTAAATCAATTCCTTGACGGCAGCATGAGGCTTCTCAAGCACTTGCAGTTCCAGCAGACAACATCTTCATCACTGGTTACTCAAGAACGTGAGACCCAGCGTGGAGACTTTGGCGCCATGCTTAGTCCATCAGGATTTCCGTCCCGGGCCATTGCAAATCACGTGACTCGAGTAAGGCAGAACAGAAGAGCATATCACGTGATCCTTTTGATTTCACCACGTGGCTTCACTGCCCCGACGTGAGCCGGACGACAGCCAACCCGAGCCAGGCAACAGACCCATGACCGACGTGTGGTTAGAAATCGTGATTGGACGAGAGCAGCGACGCTCAACTTGATGGTCGAATGCGCACATTCGGACACATCTGCTGACTGCAATTACTGCTCTGCATTCCAGTCA